CTCCCATGGCCGGTCTGGCGCCCCCTGGCCTGGCTGGTCATCAGCGCTGCTCCCCCTTCTCCCCTGGGTCACTGACATCACCCTGGACACCTTCCCAACTCAGCTCCCTCGGAGCCGAGACCCTCTGTGCCCGCTGGCTCCTCCCGGCTTCCCTCTGGGAGGTCCCCCAGCGCCCCGCCCTCCGTGGGCAGCATGACGCCGAGGAAGGAGACCGGCCTTCCCAGTGCGGAGGCCTGGCCCCGCCCTGTCTCCCTCTGCCTAGTTCCAGGACGTCCTGCACGTGACAGCCTGCAGCCGCCTCAGTTTCCCGTCTGTAAGAACCCCTCCCGGCGCTGTTGTAAGGAGACAGACCTTTATTCCGTGGAAGGCCGTGATAACGTTCACAGTCGTACAACTGAGCGCTTTAGCTGCGTGCGGTGGAATCCATCCAGAGTTGCAGCCCACTTGCTATGTCTTCAACACCCTCTGAGACTGGGGGGCATTGAACTCATAGGCTTTCAAGGAAACTAAATGTAGACCCAATAGAAGCACAGATGTTTGTTGCTGGTTTAATAACACATTTATCTTTCCAAGGAAAAACTAGGTGATGGTATTTTCTTCTTAGGCCTGAGTCTTTAGACTCAAGGGTATAATAAATACCCCTTAGATAAATAAAATGTAAAATTCTCTAAGGCAAAGTTGGAAAAGTTTATTGTAAGGGCCACATACTAAATATTTCAGGCATTGCAGACCGTCGGCTGTCTGTCACGGCTACTCAGCTCGCCTGCTGCAGCATGATGATACACAAATGAATGGACTGTGTTCCAATAAAACTTCCTTTACACAAATATGTGGCAAGTTACATTTGGTCCCTGGTCTCTAGTTAGCCAGCTCCTGCTCTGGGGCATGAATGGAGACTACAGTGACAATAAATGATAAAGGAAATCAGAAGTGATGGGTGAGGTACAGGTTTCAGGTGATTCTTCCATGATAATTCTGGAACTATTAAGGCTTTTTGGTTAGTAATGAACACCACCTCGTGTGTGTGTGTGTGTGTGTGTGAGTGTGGCCTATATAAGTTCTCCTGACAGAAATATTAGTCAGCTCAAGAGTTTGGAATCTAGAATGAAGGGGTCTCTGAAAGCAGCTCGGGTTCTACAGGTTCGTTGGAGTCAGTGAGCTCAGCTGGCCTCCTGGAGCAGAGAAAGCAGAAACCCGAGAAAGTGGGGATAACCGTAACTGCCATTTCCCAGCTGCCCTCCTCATCACAGGCTGCACCCCGGCTCCCCCGGCTCCCCCGGCTCCCCCGCTCTGGGCAACAGTGAGGGTCCAGCCCGAGGACGAGTGTTCTGCCCGCACCCCCGCAGCAGGTGTCAGAGGCTGTTTCCCCGGGGCCATCACAGTTCCCTCAACAAAAGTGACAGGTTTTCCCAGAGACCCCCCTTCTTCAGATTTAGAACCAGAGGGGGTAAGGTTGCCTCTTCTTCCTTCTATCTTTACTCTCCAGTAGCTGTTTCAAACACAACCAATAACTAATCCGAGTCAGCCCATACTGTGCGGCAGGCATAAGGCTTCCGTTATATTATACATTTATTTTCTTTCCGTTTCCAGAACTAAACTGCAAAGAGACAAGGAAACAAAAGCTCTGACATTAAAAAACCTGCCCAAAGACGCACCGATAGTTCATTACGGAGTTACAACTTGAACAGAGGCCTCTCCAACTGCGAAGCGTTTTCTGCACATGCAGCTGCCGTGGCCTGAGCGGCTAGACCCGCAGGTCGCAAGCCGGACCGACTGGCTTCAGTCTCGGCCCCACTGCTTACTAGTTTCACCACCTTGAACACATTTCCTGATGAGCCTGTGTCTTAGTTTCCTAATTTATCCAATTAGAATGATGGTAATGATTTCCTTACACATACACACACACAGTTTGTTACAAGTAATAAAGCAGTAACAGGCATGTAACAAACAGCACAGGCATTGGCTGTTTCTATACACTGAGCCCTGTGATCACAGGAGTCCGTCTCCTTCACTGTTGTGACCCTAGCTCTTAGAATAACTCCGTGCACATAGTAGGCAATATTGTTGTGTAGATGAAAAATGTTCAAACAGGAACATGAATTTGATAGGTCAGATTTAATATGAGTCTTTGAAATCATCATCTGAAGTGTAATAATGGGGACTAGTAATTGTCTTAGTTACTTCAGTGCTCCCACAAACGTGGCTGTTAGTACAAAGGAGATGCCGAGTCTCAGCACATACCACAGAGCACACAGCACAGAGCACACAGCACAGAGCACATACCACAGAGCACACAGCACAGAGCACATACCACAGAGCGCACAGCACAGAGCACACAGCACAGAGCACATACCACAGAGCGCACAGCACAGAGCACACAGCACAGAGCACACAGCACAGAGCACATACCACAGAGCACACAGCACAAAGCACATACCACAGAGCACACAGCACAGAGCACATACCACAGAGCACACAGCACAGAGCACACAGCACAGAGCACACAGCACAGAGCGCACAGCACAGAGCACACAGCACAGAGCACATACCACAGAGCACACAGCACAAAGCACATACCACAGAGCACACAGCACAGAGCACATACCACAGAGCACACAGCACAGAGCACATACCACAGAGCACACAGCACAAAGCACATACCACAGAGCACACAGCACAGAGCACATACCACAGAGCACACAGCACAGAGCGCACAGCACAGAGCACACAGCACAGAGCACATACCACAGAGCACACAGCACAGAGCACATAGCACAGAACACACAGCACATTCAGATACGTACTCCCAGTTCTTTGCTGTTCCCAAAGGAGTGTCCTTACATAATTCATCTTTAAATCATTTAATCCTTTTAAAAATCTAATTCTGTCATTATCGCATAGATTTTATCTCTGAAAGTTTATTTTTACCAAACTATGTCATATTTAATAATGTGTATTTTAAATCCAAGCCAGTGCTTAGTGACAAGCTGCCAGGAGCTACTGTAGTAAATGAATCATGGGCCCATGTAGCTGGCAAGATTGCCTTGGCTGCCTGCCCTTTGGTGGTGATGGGGCTCCAGGGGGCATCGATGCCTCCAGAGGCGAGGGTGACCGCAGCCCCGGGGAAGTGCACAGAGGAGCACATGCAGGGAATACGGGGATGGAGGCGCGTATGGAGCAAACAGCTTTTTCAAGTGGAATTTCATGCAGGCTTCTCGGATGCTGAGCCCCGTAGTCCCAAGAACACCCAACTAGATGCTATCATACCTTGGCAGAAAATTATTATTTTTTTTTATCCTCACCGGAGGACATTTTTTTTTTTTTTTTTTCATTTATCTTCAGATAGAGTGGGAGAGAAAGGGGAGAAAGAGAGAGAAAAACATCAATGTGAGAGAGACACATCAACTGGTTGCCACCCACACGACCCCAACCATGGCCAGGGACAAACTGCAACCGAGGTACATGCCCTTAGTGTGAACCGAACCCGGGACTCTCCAACCACGGAGCCAAACTGGCCAGGGCCAGAAAACCATTTTTAAAGATTTACCAGATTTATGATAAGATTCATTCTGAGTGGTGATGAACTGATACCCCTCACACAGCAAAGCACTGGGTGCCCATCCTTCTCCCTGTCTTGCAGTGTGTAAATTGTTTTCATTAAGATTAAGCATCTCACTGCAGTAACTCACGCAGCCACCCCCTCAGAACGCTGTTTCCAGCCGTCTGCCTCCCAAAGAATCCTTCCCAGTCCTCAGCTACTGCAGATGCCTGAACAAAGCACCATTTTTGTTTTGTTTTAAGGTAGTATCCCCTAGGTTTTTTGTATAAAACAGTTAAAGTGAGTAAGTTTTGCTCTTGAAGTTTACAATCAAAATAATGTAGACTTGTATGTATTTTTCTTCAAGTGAAGAAGAATTTAATGTTGGCTATATTTTGGAAATATGTATAACTAAAAGGTTTGCTTCGGTTTAAATTATTGATGCATTTGATTACCCTATAAACTAAACTGTAAATTAAACTGTGAGTTAAAAAGTTAAAGGATGCTGGGAGATTGAATCTCTTTATACATTGAAGACTTTGATTTTTCAGGAGCCCATTGGTAAATATAGTTATGAGATTAACATATGAAATAAGAATTTGGTCCTAAATGGTAGTAATAAAATATGATGAGCCTGGAAACGTGGTAAAATGTAACAACGTTTGATCTTCTATTGAAATAGCAGCTAAATATTTGTTATGCTCGAGAAATTGTGTACTAAGTATCTTACTTGTATTATTTTATTTCATCCTTAGATAGTATTATTATCCTTATTTGCTGATGAAGAAAAAGAGAAGGAAAGAGGGATTTGTAAAGGTCAAGTAATTTGCCAGAGGTTGCAAGGCTAGGGAAATAGCAAGGTCAAGATTCAAAGCTAGATAATTTGCCTCTGAAGCCTGAATTCTTGCCAATAACACATGCCTAAATCATTCATGAGACTGGCAATAAACTCATGTTTTGGTCGAGTGTGAAAATGGTCACATACGACAACCTATAAATATAATCCTATTAGAGGTAATATAACAAATAATAAAATTTTATACAGAATGAAAATAAAAATAAAACATTTGCCTTATGTCCTTTAAAAAGCAATTCTAACTGATTAGAGGGCAGAATTTCAGAAAATAACTTCACAGTACCCTATAAACTATGTTTTTGTTTTTGCATTCCAGATTAGTATTTCTATATCTTATTTGAATTAACTGGCTAATCAACCAATAAAAGTTCCTATAAATATTGTCATTTCTTTTTAGCTAGAGATGACACAGCTGAGCCTCGAAGAAATTAAGAAAACAGACTACCATTATGTAGGTCATTGGTAGCAGAAATGAAATTCAACCCAATCTTATGAGTTCAAATGCAATACAGTAAATTATTTCCCACCTTCATCTGTTGATGACAGAGTGAGAACAAAATTGGTTTGTGAAATCCATTCACAATGTACTTGTTCTTCTTCTCATAGGGCGCTACCCTCAAGAGAACAAGGGAACCTACATCCCGGTTCCTATCCTGTCGGAGCTGAGAAGTGGCAAGTGGGGGGCCAAAGTCATCATGAGACAGGACAGGTCTGTCCGGCTGTCCATCCAGTCTTCCCCAGAGTGCATTGTGGGGAAATTCCGCATGTACGTTGCCATTTGGACCCCCTATGGAATACTCCGCACCAGCCGCGACCCAGAAACAGACACCTACATTCTCTTCAATCCTTGGTGTGAAGGTAAAGAGCAGGTGTTTATATTCCTCATTAAAAAAATAGTTCACATATTTATAATGTTTCTCTTTTTTGAAGGTATAGCAGAATTATTGTAGAAGACATATTCTTTTCCTACATACACACTTTCCCCCCATGATTAAAAGATAGAAAAGGATGAGAATTTTTTCCTTAATGTATATGAGAACAAAACGTGTCTATATAACATGAATGCTGCTATACATTTATTCCAGAAAATAATTAAAGATTGCCTGAATAATTAGTTAATATACGTTGATGACATCACCTCTGTGTCTGCCATTGCTCTGTGAACAAAATAGGCTTATTAAACTTGACTTTCAAAGCTATTAAGATCCATAGTCTGCCTTCAGAAAAAATAGAGTAAAGTTGATCCTGCCCATAGTGGAACTAATTTCTCTTTCTCTAATTCAATAACCGAAAGTCTTAGTGTCTGAAAGGTCCCAGGAATTTGTTTATATGCATAGTGGATGTGAATTTCATGAGCCATTAGTCCAGATGTGCAAAGATGTAACTTTATTTCAATGTAAGACAACTCCATCTCTACTGCTATTTTGAGTCTCCTTCCTGTCTGCGGCAGCAGCTTAACTTAGTTATATTTAAATCAACTCAAGTCAAGTCCAAGAACTTCTCTATGAACCCAATTTAAAAACTCAGTCATACACAATATTTTCTCCCCATCCTCACATCTACCCTCTCTCTCTGCCCCTGTTTCCATGCTGGCCGAGAGCCGAGTTCAGTTCCAGTGGTAGCAGCATTGATGGGAGAGGGACCACTTTTAGATCTCGAAGAATAAGAATAAAACATGTAAAAGCTGGCATAGGGCGGGAGACTTCTCACACCTACCCCACTCGCATTGTTCTCTAAAATCTTCCAAATTGAGTCAGTGGTATTGCTAATTCTGAGTGACCCTTGTTTGTAAGAGGTACACTTGAATCAGGGTTGATCTGAACATAGATAATAAGTGAAGAGCAATGTTTTCTGCTTATATGTAACATGGACCTGGATCCTACTTGACTTTTTCTTTGAATAATCTGTTCCAATAATGTCGGCAGATGGCACTAAGCTAATCCGATACTCCCTGCCCACCACCCTATTATCTCGTACCCAGGAATCTTATCTGTATGACAGATGTTCAAGGTTGGTGGTGACATGTTAACTGAGCCATGTGCAGTTCAGAGGGGCACTCTTGTCTCTAGTAATCTTGATACCAAGCAGAAATGACAAAAAGATATCCTGATATGTGGATTGGGTGATGAAGATTAGGGAATGTTTGAGAGTTACCTGCACTGAGGGGAGAAAATGTAGATAAAGAAAGAAAGAAGATGTAGTAGCAAGTCCTCAATAACACCAGCATTTATGATTTTGATACAGAGGAATCATCAAAGAGTCTGAGATGGGGGTGCATGTAGGAGGTGGCCTACTGTAAGAAAACTGAATTTTAATAATCCATACTTAAAAAATAAATAAATAAGGAATTTTTATTGACTTCCCTTGCATTACAAAAAGAACACCATATAACAATCCAGCACCCTAAGGTATTTAAAGAATGATATGACTTACCCAAACTTGAGTTTGTTTGCAGTTTTCTAGATTATATCGTTTTTGTAAAATGGGGCACATGTCTACACGCATTTCAGCTTATGTGGCCGCTCTTCCAGAGGTGGGAAGGGTTGGTCTTGTTGCCTGGCTTACTAACTTCACAGAAGGATCATTCAAGAGGCAGAGAGTCGAATGACCTTTAACGACCTTGCCTTCAGTGGTATCCATGGTGAGCAGCTTCTGGTTACCGCTGTTCAGAAAGAGCACCCTAGGTGGCCCCGGATGCTGCATTTCAGAAGAGGAGCAGAGGCACCGCCCCTGGGCATCACCCAGGGGAGGAAAGTGTGAATAAAAGCAAAGAGATCAGTTTGAGAGCTGTGGCCCAGGACAGGGATAATGTTGACGTAGACCACGGTGGCGGTGGAGTTGAGAGAGGATGGATTGGAGATCTGCTTTGGACTTAGAACAGAAAGTGCAGGGATTAAATGTGGAAGGTGAAGAAGAAGGTGGAGTCAAGAGTTACTCTATGTACTACCTGTTTTAACCAGCTAGGTTGCCATTCCGGAGCTGGGAAGACGGGGGGAGAGGAGGGAGATCTAGGAGTGAACCTCAGAGTTATATATAGGAATGCTAATTGGGTGACATCTGTGAGACAGTCAAGTGAAAATGTCAGGAAGCCTCCTGCATAAGTGAATCCAGAGACCAGAGGCGGAGGCTGAGCTAGAGATGGAAACATGGGCCACCAGGGCTGGTGAGGGTGTTTAAAGAAAGAAAAAAATGGACTTAGTACTGTCAACAATTAGAGTCTAGACAGAGGGGAGGGGTCTGGACTGAGAAGGAGTAGCCAGGGGGGTGAAGGAACTCAGAAGATCATGCTGCCACAGAGCCAGATGACTGGTTGATTCAAGAAGGTAGCAATGAGCTCTTTGGAATGCTGCTGGTGAGCTGAATGATACAGTGCTCATACATTCTGGAAATACAGAAGTAATCAGGGGACTTAAAAAGGCCATTTACTAGAGAAAGAAGCCAGAGAGGTGAGCGTGGCTGCCGTGTGGTGGGAGGCGAGGAAGTGGGAAGCCGGCGTGGCTGGCGCCATCAGGAGGGCTTTCTGTGAAACTGCACTGCTGATGAGAACATCAGAGGAGAATGTTTAAAGGCAGGAGAGAGTAGGCATACTTTTATGGTGGTGGAGACAAACCAGGGGAAAGGCTTGCTGCCCAGAGAGAAGGGAGTGGTTCAGATCCTTGGCTGCACATTGGGATGACCTGGGAGCTCTGCGGACCGCTGGTGCCTCAGTCTCCCCATCCAGACGTCCTGAGCTAATTTGCCTGGAGTGCGGTGTGGGCTTTAGGGTTCTTGAAAAGCTCTGCAGTTCTTGGAGCCATGGCTGAGAAGCACTGACTTCCAGAGTGAAGTCCTTCAGCAGATGGGATCCAGGGAACAGATATCCAAGAGCCTGACGAGAACACTCCGTCCTCCTGTGTGGCAGAAGGGAGCAGGACAGGGCGAAAGCACGGGCTCCTGGACCCCGCGGGACCAAGGAGGACAAAGGTTAGGGTGTTGGCATGTTGTGATTTTCTTTTCCTCAGTGAAGTGTAAAACAAAGTCATCCGTGGAGAACAAACAGCAAGGAGAGGGATTGGAGGCTTGGGAGAGACGACAGGAGAGTTGAGAATGGGAAGTGGGCTTCGTACAGAAACATGGCCGGCGGGTCCTCCTTGCTCCCCAGCACACATGGGAACTACCACAATCCCCCAAGTCCTTGGCCTGGGAAAGTCCCAACATTTCTGCCAAGTCCTCAGGGACTTCTGTCCTTATGGACATCTCTGCCCCTAGAATCCCATTTCTCCAGTGCTGACCCCAGTGTGGCCTCAAAACCAACAAGACGTCCTCAGGACGTCTGTGAATGTCAGAAGCTGACTGCCGTCTGGTGGGGAAGGGGAGGAGGAACGATGTGCCCTGGTTCTGAGACGTGGAGCGCAGCACAGTCTCCTGCAGGGCTTGAGAGCAGACTTGGAGCAGCGTCCTGAGGTTCACTAGGTCTGGGGTAGGCCTGAGAACCTGCATTCCTGACCAGTTCCCAGGAGATGCTGATGCTGCTGGTCCGGAACCACACATAAAGAACCACTGGTTTACATAATAACCATAAATCAATAAATGCAAAACATAGGAGAGGATTTTTACTCTTAAAATTTGATTGACTCCTCCCCAAACCTAATCCCAGTCTCCTGTCTACCTGCCTCCGCTCTCTCCTTCAGTTCTTCCTTGTTCTCCAACCTTCTCTCCCATCCTCTCTTCGGAGAAAATTCTCTCTTCTCCCATGCAGAGCATTCAGCAAGCTTTCTTATCTTGTTGTTTGGGCTCCTCCAAACAACAGGCTTTTGGGGACCACACACTTTTTGAAGGCCATTCCATTTCCTCCAGAAAAACTCTGGTGTCAGCTTTTAAGATAATAACTTTTTATATTCAATGAAATGGGGGAGAGAGGTCATCTTCTCCTTTCAGTCACTGTGTGATTTTCCCAGCCCAGAAGCTAAGGCATAACCCTCAAAGGGGACCTGTGTCATGAACCCCTCACACACTCCGCTCCACGGTAGCCTGGCCATCACTCGGTTTTGTGTTTCCACGCGCTGATTCATAACAAGGGGCTCTCGGAGACACGGTCTGACACTTGGAAAGCAGCTAAAAAGAGAGGGGTTTGCCAGTGCCCAAGTAGAAAAGATAAGTCAGAAATTGTCCAAAGAGAGCAAGGTGAGCAAGATGCTGAAAACAGCACACTAGTGTGGAAGGGGGTCCCAGGTGGCTCGTGCACGGGGTTGGAGTCACAGACACGTGCAGTGCTTACTGATGAAAGAATGCTCAGCTGGGCGCCTGGGGCCGTCCGCTGGCTTTGCATTCACAGGCCATCTGTCCCCTTAATCACTAAGTCATTAATGGGGATTGAGAGCAACACCACCCTAGTGAGGGCAGCGGTGGGCGTGGGAGAATCACTGGCTATCCGTCTCAGTTAATAGCACCGGAGGGCTTCAGACCCCTTCTGTGAGGGAGCCCGTCCCCAGGTACAGAGAGAATTGTACCCTCAAAGGCATCAAGAGTGAGCTGGACAGTTATTGTGAATTGACCTTGTTTTTCTGACCACTCAGACATTCCAGATTATTTCATATGTTTTACTATTTAAATTCAGAATGTTCCAGATAGATTGATAGTCTAGTCTTAGGGCCAGATAGTGTGTTCTGAAAGATTTAGGTGTCCCATACTGTGCTTTGTCCTCCGTCAGGGGAAGTACTTGGTTGGTTGAGCATCGTTTATTATCGTGAGTAGTTTTCTCCTGCTGACTGGTTCCCCCCACAGCTCCCATCAGTGACTTTCCTGACCTCACTCAGCCTCATGTCCGGCACCTACCACAGGGCCTCGCACACACTTAATATTTAATGAGTACTTGCCAC